CCAGTCAGCAACGGGTTTCGCTGAAATAGCCGAATCCACAAATTTGAAAGGTTGACCACGTACTTTTGTCCATGTGTATATAAAGTGTAGTAAGCACATGAAGCTCCTGTCAGTAGGTTATATACTGGAAAGCAAATGGATCACGCTGCTTCAAGTGTATCAGCGATCTAATGAGCTGGTCCCATGCCTGTTTGGCTCCAGTGGTGGAAAAGGTACCCAATTGTCATACTTGAGTAAAAGTAAAGATACCTTAATAGAAAATGACTCAAGTAAAAGTCACCCAGTAAAATACTACTTGAGTAAAAGTCTAAAAGTATTTGGTTTTAAATATACTTATGTATCAAAAGTAAATGTTATTTCTAAAATATACTTAAGTATCAAAAGTAAAACTATAAACATTTCACATTCCTTATATTATGCAAACCAGACGACACAACTTTCTTGTTTTTTAAATTTACTTTAATTTATGGATAGCCAGGGGCACACTCCAACACTCAGATATAATTTACAAACAAAGCATTTGTGTTTAGTGAGACTGCCAGATCAGAGGCAGTAGGGATGACCAGGGATGTTCTCTCGATAAGTGCAAGAATTTGACAATTTTTCTGTCCTGCTAAGCATTTGAAATGTAACGAGTACTTTTGGGTGTCAGGGAAAATGTATGGAGTAAAAAGTATATTATTTTATTTAGGAATGTAGTGAAGTAAAAGTAAAAGTTGTCAAAAATAGAAATACTAAAGTAAAGTACAGATACCCCCAAAAAAGACTTAAGTAGTACTTTAAAGTATTTTTACACCACTGTTCGGCTCCTCCTGCGAATGATGTAATTCCCCAGTGGGAATTTTGTGGTGCGTTTGGATTCTGTCAAAAACTCAGAGATACAAGTTCCTCTAAACTTCAGCACACTAGCTGGCATTATGAAGTGTATACTTCCTCTAACCTTCAGCACACTAGCTGGCATTATGAAGTGTATACTTCCTCTAACCTTCAGCACACTAGCTGGCATTATGAAGTGTATACTTCCTCTAACCTTCAGCTGACTAGCTAGCATTATGAAGTGTATACTTCCTCTAACCTTCAGCACACTAGCTAGCATTATGAAGTGTATACTTCCTCTAACATTCAGCACACTAGCTGGCATTATGAAGTGTATACTTCCTCTAACCTTCAGCTGACTAGCTAGCATTATGAAGTGTATACTTCCTCTAACCTTCAGCACACTAGCTAGCATTATGAAGTGTATACTTCCTCTAACCTTCAGCACACTAGCTAGCATTATGAAGTGTATACTTCCTCTAACCTTCAGCACACTAGCTAGCATTATGAAGTGTATACTTCCTCTAACCTTCAGCACACTAGCTAGCATTATGAAGTGTATACTTCCTCTAACCTTCAGCTGACTAGCTAGCATTATGAAGTGTATACTTCCTCTAACCTTCAGCACACTAGCTAGCATTATGAAGTGTATACTTCCTCTAACCTTCAGCACACTAGCTGGCATTATGAAGTGTATACTTCCTCTAACCTTCAGCTGACTAGCTAGCATTATGAAGTGTATACTTCCTCTAACCTTCAGCACACTAGCTAGCATTATGAAGTGTATACTTCCTCTAACCTTCAGCACACTAGCTGGCATTATGAAGTGTATACTTCCTCTAACCTTCAGCTGACTAGCTAGCATTATGAAGTGTATACTTCCTCTAACCTTCAGCACACTAGCTAGCATTATGAAGTGTATACTTCCTCTAACCTTCAGCACACTAGCTAGAAGTATGAAGTGTATACTTCCTCTAATCTTCAGCACACTAGCTAGCATTATGAAGTGTATACTTCCTCTAACCTTCAGCACACTAGCTAGCATTATGAAGTGTATACTTCCTCTAACCTTCAGCACACTAGCTAGCATTATGAAGTGTATACTTCCTCTAACCTTCAGCACACTAGCTAGCATTATGAAGTGTATACTTCCTTTAACCTTCAGCACACTAGCTAGCATTATGAAGTGTATACTTCCTCTAACCTTCAGCACACTAGCTAGCATTATGAAGTGTATACTTCCTCTAACCTTCAGCACACTAGCTAGCATTATGAAGTGTATACTTCCTCTAACCTTCAGCACACTAGCTAGCATTATGAAGTGTATACTTCCTCTAACCTTCAGCACACTAGCTAGCATTATGAAGTGTATACTTCCTCTAACCTTCAGCACACTAGCTAGCATTATGAAGTGTATACTTCCTCTAACCTTCAGCACACTAGCTAGCATTATGAAGTGTATACTTCCTCTAACCTTCAGCACACTAGCTAGCATTATGAGTCTTCAAGATGGCAGGAGACTTATTTATGTCACACCCTGATCTGTTTCACCTGTCCTGTGCTTGTCTCCACCCACCTCCAGGTGTCGTCCATCTTCCCCATTATCCCCTGGGTATTTATACCTGTGTTTTCTGTTTGTCTGTTGCCAGTTCGTCTTGTCTCGTCAAGCCTACCCACGGTTTTCCCGTACTCCTGTTTTGCTCTAGTCCCTGTTTTTCCCGGTTTTGACCATTCTGCCTGCCCTGACCCTGAGCCTGCCTGCCGTGTCTGTACCTTTCGGACTCTGCTCTGAATTACTGACCTCTATCTGCCCTTGACCTGTCGTTTGCCTGCCCCCTGTTTTTGTAAATACACCTTTTGCTATTTCGAACTGGCTCCGGAACCCTATTGACTGCTTGAGGTTATGAAGGCTAGGGGGACGAGGGAGGCTCCGGAACCCTATTGACTGCTTGAGGTTATGAAGGCTAGGGGGACGAGGGAGGCTCCGGAACCCTATTGACTGCTTGAGGTTATGAAGGCTAGGGGGACGAGGGAGGCTCCGGAACCCTATTGACTGCTTGAGGTTATGAAGGCTAGGGGGACAAGGGAGGCTCCGGAACCCTATTGACTGCTTGAGGTTATGAAGGCTAGGGGGACGAGGGAGGCTCCGGAACCCTATTGACTGCTTGAGGTTATGAAGGCTAGGGGGACGAGGGAGGCTCCGGAACCCTATTGACTGCTTGAGGTTATGAAGGCTAGGGGGACGAGGGAGGCTCCGGAACCCTATTGACTGCTTGAGGTTATGAAGGCTAGGGGGACGAGGGAGGCTCCGGAACCCTATTGACTGCTTGAGGTTATGAAGGCTAGGGGGACGAGGGAGGCTCCGGAACCCTATTGACTGCTTGAGGTTATGAAGGCTAGGGGGACGAGGGAGGCTCCGGAACCCTATTGACTGCTTGAGGTTATGAAGGCTAGGGGACTAGGGAGGCTCCGGAATCTGCACGGCAAGCGGTACCGGAGTGCCAAGTGTAGGTCCGGTACCGCTTGCCGTGCAGTAGCAGAGAGAACAGTCTATGACTTGGGGGACTGGAGTCTTTAAAAATGTTTTGGGCCTTCCTCTGACACCGCCTGGTATATAGGTCCTGATTGGCAGGAAGCTTGGCCCCAGTGATGTACTGGACCATACGCATTACCCTCTGTAGCGCCTTACGGTCGGATGCCGAGCAGTTGCCATACCAGGCGGTGATGCAACCGGTCAGATGCTCTTGATGGCGCAGCTGTAGAACTTTTTGAGGATCTGGAGACCCATGCCAGATCTTTTCAGTCTCTGAGGGGGGAAAGGTGTTGTCATGCCCTCTTCACAACTGTCTTGGTGTGTTTGGACTATGATAGTTTGTTGGTGATGTGGACACCAAGGAACTTCAAGCTAGGAGGGCTAGGGAGGGCTAGGAGGGATAGGACAGCTAGGGAGGGCTAGGGAGGGCTAGGAGGGCTGGGAGGGCTAGGGAGGGCTAGGACGCCTAGGGAGGGCTAAGACGGCTAGGGAGGGCTAGGGAGGGCTAGGAGGCTCTTACAACTGAGAGTGAGTGACAGTAGTCCTGTAGTTACAGGCTAGGAAGGGCTAGGGAGGGCTAGGAGGGCTAGGGAGGGCTAGGAGGGATAGGACAGCTAGGGAGGGCTAGGGAGGGCTAGGAGGGCTAGGGAGGGCTAGGGAGGGCTAGGAGGGCTAGGAAGGCTAGGAGGGCTGGGAGGGCTAGGGAGGGCTAGGGAGGGCTAGGGAGGGCTAGGGAGGGCTAGGAGGGCTAGGGAGGGCTAGGAGGGATAGGGAGGGCTAGGACGCCTAGGGAGGGCTAAGACGGCTAGGGAGGGCTAGGGAGGGCTAGGGAGGGCTAGGGAGGGCTAGGAGGGCTGGGAGGGCTAGGGAGGGCTAGGAGAGCTAGGGAGGGCTAGGGAGGGCTAGGGAGGGCTAGGAAGTCTAGGAGGGCTGGGAGGGCTAGGGAGGGCTAGGAGAGCTAGGGAGGGCTAGGGAGGGCTAGGAGAGCTAGGGAGGGCTAGGGAGGGCTAGGGAGGGCTAGGAAGTCTAGGAGGGCTGGGAGGGCTAGGGAGGGCTAGGAGAGCTAGGGAGGGCTAGGGAGGGCTAGGGAGGTTCAGTAAACTAGTGGAATGAAGGATCAGTAAATGAGTGGAATGAAGGATCAGTAAACTAGTGGAATGAAGGATCAGTAAACTAGTGGAATGAAGGATCAGTAAACTAGTGGAATGAAGGATCAGTAAACGAGTGGAATGAAGGATCAGTAAACGAGTGGAATGAAGGATCAGTAAACTAGTGGAATGAAGGATCAGTAAACGAGTGGAATGAAGGATCAGTACACTAGTGGAATGAAGGATCAGTAAACTAGTGGAATGAAGGATCAGTAAACTAGTGGAATGAAGGATCAGTAAACTAGTAGAATGAAGGATCAGTAAACTAGTAGAATGAAGGATCAGTAAACTAGTAGAATGAAGGATCAGTAAACTAGTGGAATGAGGGATCAGTAAACTAGTGGAATGAAGGATCAGTAAACTAGTGGAATGAGGGATCACTCCTCTCCTCTTGATCCGAACCACAGGGAGGAGCATTGAAGGAGAGAAGTAACTCTCCTCCTCCTCTCATGTTCTGTCTCTCATCCATCCTTTCCCTCTCTTCTCTCATGTTCGGTCTCTCATCCATCCTTTCCCTCTCGTCTCTCATGTTCTGTCTGTCGTATTCCTCCTCCATCTGTTCTTCCTCTTGGTCTTCCTCCCTCATTGCGTCTCTGTTCCCGAACAGTTTGTGAAGTTGGAGTCCCTCGTTGCCTAGCGACCTGTTCAACAGCCTCTGCCCTATGACCTCCTCCTCCCTCCTCTTCCTCCCCCTCTCCTCTGCACTCCTCCGTTGCAACAGTTACTTTCTTCTCCATCTTTAGAGGCATGCTAGACTTCCGGGGTTTCTTCTTGGGGGTGGGGTCAGCGGAGGCACACCAACCTCCCTGATTGGATGACCCGAGATCCTTGGCCCCTCCCTTTGACCCGCAGGAAGAAGCCAATTGGTCCAACAGAGACGAGGAGGAGGGAGAAGGGGAGAAGAAGGGAGCAAGGAGAGAGGAGGAGGAGGAGGGAGGAGGGGGGATCTGTAGCGTAGCATGGTAGAACTGAGACAGTGGTTGCACTTCACCCAGAGAAGAAACCGATAGCTGGGTCTGTAAGGGGGACAGAGCAGCAGTGATGCCCACTGAGGGATGCCCTGTCCCGGGGAAGATGGGCCCCCTGTGAGGGTCTGGGCTAGAGGGTCTGTCTGGCTCTGGGTTGGAGTGGGGGGCAAGGGTGGGGTTTGCAGGGTGAGTCAGGAGTGAGTGCAGGGGGGTGTATTGCTGTTGCTGTCGTGGGTGGTTTAGGGGTACGGCTGTGGCTATGTTGTGGGGCCCCTGTTGTTTATGGGGTTTGTCATAGGTGTGTGTGTGTTGACTATAGGTGTGTGGGTGTTGACTATAGATGTGTGTGTGTTGACTATAGGTGTGTGTGTGTGTGTTTGCAGCCTCCCCGTCCTGTCTCCCTGTCCCGTCTCCCTGTCCTGTCTCCCCGTCCTGTCTCCCTGTCCTGTCTCCCCGTCCTGTCTCCCCGTCCTGTCTCCCTGTCCTGTCTCCCTGTCCCGTCTCCCCGTCCTGTCTCCCTGTCCCGTCTCCCTGTCCTGTCTCCCTGTCCCTGTACCTGTGTGGTGTTGGTGCTTGTCTGAGCGTAGCCATGTGTAGTCTGGGGTTGGGGTTAGCGCTGTGTCTGTTGCGGCTCCTCAGTGAGCTAAACACCATACCACACCCATCCACAGTGCACCCGTGCTTTATCTTCAGGTGGACCGCGTTGTAGTGGATCTTTAACGTTCCTCTGTCGTAGAAGCTCTTACCACAGGCGCCACAGCACACCCTGCCCTTACGGAGGGAGGGTGAGGCCTCAGGGAAGAGCCGGCCCTTAGGGAGGGAGGAGGAGGAGCAGGGGGGAGAGGACACATCAGGGAAGAGCCTGTCGTTACGGCGGGAGGAGGAGGAGGAGGAGGAGGAGGAAGGGCGGGACACCACACAGAACAAGCTCTGGGCCAGCTTAGAAAGAGAGGAGGAGGATGGAGAGGAGGAAGAGAGAGAGGAGTAGGAAGAGAGAGAGAAGGAGGAAGAGAGGGAGGATGTGTTGTTGTTGTTGTCGTTTTTGGACAGCCCAAAGTTCTTCTTCTGTAGCTCAGGGTTGGTTACTAGGTAACTGGGTCGACGGCGGTGGCGGCGTTGATCGTCATGGTTACCGGCCGGCTGTTGCTGGTCGTCGTCGCGGTGTGGCTGCCGTGACGACGACCTCATCGGTGACTCATCGTATTCAGGTTTAGGTTCCATCGTCTTGGTCCCAGTACCGTTTCCTCCTCCAAGACCATTAACGGCAGCCAGTACCGGACTCAACAAGTTACCACATGGAGACACAGACAGAGACCCAGACTCAGACACACTGCTTTCTGACTGGTGCTGTGGTCCTTCGCTCTGTTTGACCCTCCCGGGCCTCCGTAGTCCACCCAGCCTGGTGGGAGGGGCCAAACCCAGCAAGGGGGAGGGGCTATGGAACTGGAATGGGAGGAGCATAGAGAGACTGGCGGGGAAGTTATCAAAATGGTGGAGACCAGCAGGACTGCCCTTCTCAAAATGACGGACACTCGCAGGACTGCTTTTCACAAAATGGTGGACACTCGCCGGACCGCCCTTCTCAAAATGGTGCCCGGTCGACGGACTGCCCTTCTCAAAATGGTGGCCGGTCGCCGGACTGCCCTTCTCAAAATGGTGGATGCTAGCAGGACTGCCCTTCTCAAAATGGTGGAAACTCTCAGGACTGCCCTTCTCAAAATGGTGGTTGGACCCAGGACTGCCCATCTCAAAATGCCCGCTCTGCCCGTTGACCAATAAGTCCTGAAAGAACATGAGCTCTACGATTGTCCGCGTCTCTCCGAACCTCAGGAACTGTTGTAGGGTCACAATCTCTTCCTTATGACAGACCACCGTCCAACGGTCCAATACGCTGCCGGAGGAGTCCTAGAGGGGGGAGAGGGGAGAAAAAGAGAGGAGCCTTGCTATTGAGAGAGGCCGACGTAGGCAGACCTGGCTCTCAAGAGAAGACAGGCTATGTGCACACTGCCCACAAAATGAGGTGGAAACTGAGCTGCACTTCCTAACCTCCTGCCAAATGTATGACCATATTAGAGACACATATTTCCCTCAGATTACACAGACGCACCAGTGGTTATCCCTTGACGCACAAGTGGTTATCTCCACCCTGCTACCACAAAAATACTTCCACCCTGCTACCATACAGGGTTCCAGACCTTGGCCGAACGCCATGACCGAGCGTTTAACACATTGCTGGAGCAATAGGCAGCGACGGTACCACGACGGTAACCTCCCAGCCCCTCAGTAACCCGGCTGTTAGCTGGAGAGTCGGGGACTTGTAGGGCATTTCTCGCTCAGCCTTCCACAAGCTTCCCACAATAAGTTGGGTGAATTTTGGCCCATTCCTCCTGACAGAGCTGGTGTAACTGAGTCAGGTTTGTAGGCCTCCTTGCTCGCACGTGCTTTTTCAGTTCTGCCCACAAAGTTTTCTATAGGATTGAGGTCAGGGCTTTGTGATGGCCACTCCAATACCTTGACTTTGTTGTCCTTAAGCCATTTTGCCACAACTTTGGAAGTATGCTTGGGGTCATTGTCCATTTGGAAGACCCATTTGTGACCAAGCTTTAACTTCCTGACTGATGTCTTGAGATGTTGCTTCAATATAGCCACATAATTTTCCTTCCTCATGATGCCATCTATTTTGTGAAGTGCACCAGTCCCTCCTGCAGCAAAGCACCCCCACAGTATGATGCTGCCACCCCCATGCTTCACGGTTGGGATGGTGTTCTTCGACTTGCAAGCACCCCTTTTTCCGCCAAACATAACGATGGTCATTATGGCCAAACAGTTCTATTTTTGTTTCATCAGACCAGAGGACATTTCTCCAAAAAGTACGATCTTTGTCCCCATGTGCAGTTGCAAACCGTAGTCTGGCTTTTTTATGGCGGTTTTGGAGCAGTGGCTTCTTCCTTGCTGAGCGGCCTTTCAGGTTATGTCGATATAGGACTCGTTTGACTGTGGATATAGATACATTTGTACCTGTTTCCTCCAGCATCTTCACAAGGTCCTTTGCTGTTGTTCTGGGATTGATTTGCACTTTTCGCACCAAAGTATGTTAATCTCTAGGAGATTCTTCCTGAGCGGTATGACGGCTGCGTGGTCCCATGGTGTTTATACTTAAGTACTATTGTTTGTACAGATGAACGTGGTACCTTCAGGCATTTGGAAATTGCTCCCAAGGATCAACCAGACTTGTGGAGGTCTACAATCTTTTTTCAGAGCTCTTGGCTGATTTCTTTTGATTTTCCCATGATGTCAAGCAAAGAGGCACTGAGTTTGAAGGTAGGCCTTGAAATACATCCACAGGTACACCTCCAATTGACTCAAATGATGTCAATTAGTCTATCAGAAGCTTCTAAAGCCATGACATCAATTTCTGGAATTTTTCAAGCTGCTTAAAGGCACAGTCAACTTAGTGTATGTAAACTTCTGACCCACTGGAATTGTGATACAGTAAATTATAAGTGAAATAATCTGTCTGTAAACAATTGTTGGAAAAATTACTTGTGTCATGCACAAAGTAGATGTCCTAACCGACTTGCCAAAACTATAGTTTGTTAACAAGAAATTTGTGGAGTGGTTGAAAAACGAGTTTTAATGACTCCAATCAAAGTGTATGTAAACTTCCGACTTCAACTGTATCTACCTCAATTACCTCGTACCCCTGCAAATCGACTCGGTACTATTTGGCCAAGTTATCGTTACTCATTGTGTATTTATTAATACTCTGTACTATTTACTTTTCTATTATTTCTCTATTTTCTCTCTCTCTGCGTTGTTGGGAAGGGTCCTTAAGGAAGCATTTCACTTTGAGTCTACACCTGTTGTTTACGAAGCATGTGGCGATATTTCTTTATTTATTTTGTATTTTATTTTAATCAGGAACAGAGACACAGAGAACCATCTATAAATCTCACAACATGACAGAATCACAAACACAGACACAGAGAACCATCTATAAATCTCACAACATGACAGAATCAGGAACAGAAACACAGGAGGATGATGACTGTATAACCATGACAAACTTACCCTCATTTACTCTGTGTGTGTGTGTGTGTGTGTGTGTGTGTGTGTGTGTGTGTGTGTGTGTCACTCTACTCCTGTTCTAGCTGGTCTGTGTGTTGACTCACTGTCCTACTCACTACTGGGCTGATGACAGCCTATCACTGACTCACTGTCCTACTCACTACTGGGCTGATGACAGCCTATCACTGACTGACTCACTGTCCTACTCACTACTGGGCTGATGGCAGCCTATCACTGACTCACTGTCCTACTCACTACTGGGCTGATGACAGCCTATCACTGACTGACTCACTACTGGGCTGATGACAGCCTATCACTGACTGACTCACTACTGGGCTGATGACAGCCTATCACTGACTGACTCACTGTCCTACTCACTACTGGGCTGATGACAGCCTATCACTGACTGACTCACTGTCCTACTCACTACTGGGCTGATGGCAGCCTATCACTGACTGACTGTCCTACTCACTACTGGGCTGATGGCAGCCTATCACTGACTCACTGTCCTACTCACTACTGGGCTGATGGCAGCGTATCACTGACTGACTCACTACTGGGCTGATGGCAGCCTATCACTGACTCACTGTCCTACTCACTACTGGGCTGATGGCAGCCTATCACTGACTGACTCACTACTGGGCTGATGACAGCCTATCACTGACTGACTCACTGTCCTACTCACTACTGGGCTGATGACAGCCTATCACTGACTGACTCACTGTCCTACTCACTACTGGGCTGATGGCAGCCTATCACTGACTGACTCACTACTGGGCTGATGGCAGCCTATCACTGACTCACTGTCCTACTCACTACTGGGCTGATGACAGCCTATCACTGACTCACTGTCCTACTCACTACTGGGCTGATGACAGCCTATCACTGACTGACTCACTACTGGGCTGATGACAGCCTATCACTGACTGACTCACTGTCCTACTCACTACTGGGCTGATGACAGCCTATCACTGACTGACTCACTGTCCTACTCACTACTGGGCTGATGGCAGCCTATCACTGACTCACTGTCCTACTCACTACTGGGCTGATGACAGCCTATCACTGACTCACTGTCCTACTCACTACTGGGCTGATGACAGCCTATCACTGACTGACTCACTGTCCTACTGGCACACAGACACACCCTACCTCTATCCCTCCTACCTGTAGTATGTACCCTACCTGTAGTATGTACCCTACCTGTAGTATGTACCCTACCTGTAGTATGTACCCTACCTCTATCCCTCCTACCTGTAGTATGTACCCTACCTGTAGTATGTACCCTACCTGTAGTATGTACCCTACCTGTAGTATGTACCCTACCTGTAGTATGTACCCTACCTGTAGTATGTACCTTACCTGTAGTATGTACCCTACCTGTAGTATGTACCCTACCTGTAGTATGTACCCTACCTGTAGTATGTACCTTACCTGTAGTATGTACCCTACCTGTAGTATGTACCCTACCTGTAGTATGTACCTACACTGTAGTATGTACCCTACCTGTAGTATGTACCCTACCTGTAGTATGTACCCTACCTGTAGTATGTACCCTACCTGTAGTATGTACCCTACCTGTAGTATGTACCCTACTTTAGTATGTACCCTACCTGTGTATGTACCCTACCTGTAGTATGTACCTTACCTGTAGTATGACCCTACCTGTAGTATGTACCCTACCTGTAGTATGTACCCTACCTGTAGTATGTACCCTACCTGTAGTATGTACCCTACCTGTAGTATGTACCCTACCTGTAGTATGTACCCTACCTGTAGTATGTACCCTACCTGTAGTATGTACCTTACCTGTAGTATGTACCCTACCTCTATCCCTCCTACCTGTAGTATGTACCCTACCTGTAGTATGTACCCTACCTGTAGTATGTACCCTACCTCTATCCCTCCTACCTGTAGTATGTACCCTACCTGTAGTATGTACCCTACCTGTAGTATGTACCCTACCTGTAGTATGTACCCTACCTGTAGTATGTACCCTCTGCAGTAGTCTTGTAGGGTCCACCCCAGACTGTGTAGTATGTATAGGACCTGCAAGACAAGACATTAACAGTAATGAGCAGTTATAACCTTTACTTATTCTGCATGTTATTGTGTTATAGCCTGAATTTTAAATGGTTTAAATTGAGATTTTGTGTCAATGATCTACACACAATACCCCGATAACGTCCAAATGGATGTTTGGTTGTCGAACATTTTAGAAACGAATTAAAAATGAAAAGCTGAAATATCTTCAGTCAATAAGTATTCAACCCTTTTGTTATGGAAAGCCTAAATAAATTCAGGATAAAAAATTTACTAAACAAGTCACATAAGTTGCATGAAGTCACTCTGTGTTCAATAATAGTGTTTAACATGATTTTTGAATGACTACCTCATCTCTGTACCCCGCACATACAATTATCTCTAAGGTCCCTAAGTCGAGCAGTGAATTTCAAACATAGATTCAACAACAAAGACCATGGAGGTTTTCCAATGCCTTGCAAAGAAGGGAACAGATTTTTTTTTTTTTAAGCAAACGCTGAATGTCCCTTTGGGCATGGTGAAGTTATTAATTACACTTTGGATGGTGTATCAATACACCCAGTCACTACAAAGATGCAGGCGTCCTTCCTAACTCAGTTGCCGGAGAGGAAGGAAACAGCTCAGGGATTTCACCATGAGGCCAATCGTGACGTTAAACATTTACAGAGTTTAATGGCTGTGATAGGAGAAAACTGAGGATGGCTCAACAACATTGTAGTTACTCCACAATACTAACCTAAATGACAGAGTGAAAAGAAGGAAGCCTGTACAGAATAAACATATTCCAAAACATGCATCCTGTTTGCAACAAGGCACTAAAGTAATACTGCAATGAACTTTTTGTCCTGAATACAAAGCGTTATGTTTGAGGCAAATCAAACACAACACATCACTAAGTACCACTCTTCATATTTTCAAGCGTGGTGGTGGCTGCATCATGTTATGGGTATGCTTGTAATTGTTAAGGACTGATGAGTTTTTCAGGATAAAAAATAAAGGGAATACAGCTATAAGCACAGAAAAAATCCTAGAGGAAAACCTGGTTCAGTCTGCTTTCCAACAGACACTGGGAGATGAATTCACCTTTCAGCAGGACAATAACCTAAAACACAAGGCCAAATATACACTGGAGTTGCTTACCAAGAAGACAATGAATGTTCCTGAGTGGCCTAGTTAAAGTTTTGACTTAAATCGGCTTGGAAATCTATGGCAAGACTTGAAAATGGCTGTCTAGCAATGATCAACTTGACAGAGCTTGAATAATTTTAATAATAGGCTAATATTGTACAATCCAGGTGTGGAAAGCTCTTAGAGACTTACCCAGAAAGACGCACAGATGCAATCGCCGCCAAAGGTGCATCTACAAAGTATTGACTCAGGGGTGTGAATACTTACACTACCAGTCAAAAGTTTGGACACACCTACTCATTCAAAGATTTTTCTTTATTTTTTACAATATTTTACATTGTAGAATAATAGTGAAGACATCAAAACTATGAAATAACACATATGGAATCATGTAGTAACCAAAAAAGTGTTAAACAAATCAAAATATATTTTATATTTGAGATTCTTCAAATAGCCACCCTTTGCCTTGATGACAGCTTTGCACACTCTTGGCATTCTCTCAACCAGCTTCACCTGGAATGCTTTTCCAACAGTCTTGAAGGAGTTCCCACATATGCTGAGCACTTGTTGGCTGCTTTTCCTTCACTCTGCGGTCCGACTCATCCCAAACCATCTCAATTGGGTTGAGGTCGGGTGATTGTGGAGGCCAGGTCATCTGATGCAGCACTCCATCACTCTCCTTCTTGGTAAAATAGCCCTTACACAGCCTGGAGGTGTGTTGGGTCATTGTCCTGTTGAAAAACAAATGATAGTCCCACTAAGCCCAAACCAGATGGGATGGCGTATTGCTGTAGAATGCTATGGTAGCCATGCTGGTTAAGTGTGCCTTCAATTCTAAATAAATCACAGACAGTGTCACCAGCAAAGCACCCCACACCATAACACCGCCTCCTCCATGCTTTACGGTGGGAAATACACATGCGGAGATCATCCGTTCACCCACACCGCGTCTCACAAAGACACGGCGGTTGGAACCCAAAATCTCCAATTTGGACTCCAGACCAAATTTCCACTGGTCTGAGGTCCATTGTTCGTGTTTCTTGGTCCAAGCAAGTCTCTTCTTGTTATTGGTGTCCTTTAGTAGTGGTTTCTTTGCAGCAATTCGACCATGAAGGCCTGATTCACACAGTCCCCTCTGAACAGTTGATGTTGAGATATGTCTGTTACTTGAAATCTGTGAAGCATTTATTTGGGCTGCAATTTCTGAGGCTGGTAACTCTAATGAACTTATCCTCTGCAGCAGAGGTAACACTGGGTCTTCCATTCCTGTTGCGGTCCTCATGAAATCCAGTTTCATCAAAGCGCTTGATGGTTTTTGCGACTGCACTTGAAGAAACTTTCAAAGTTCTTGACATTTTCCGTATTGACTGACCTTCATGTCTTAAAGTAATGATGGACTGTCGTTTCTCTTTGCTTATTTGAGCTGTTCTTGCCATAATATGGACTTGGTCTTTTACCAAATAGGGCTATCTTCTGTATACCCCCCTACCTTGTCACAACACAACTGATTGGATCAAACGCATTCCATAAATTAACTTTTAAGAAGGCACACCTGTTAATTGAAATGCATTCCAGGTGAATACCTCATGAAGCTGGTTGAGAGAATGCCAAGAGTGTGCAAAGCTGTCATCAAGGCAAAGGTTGGCTATTTGAAGAATCACAAATGTAAAATATATTTTGATTTGTTTAACACTTTTTTGGTTACTACATGATTCCATATGTGTTATTTAATAGTTTTGATGTCTTCACTATTATTCTACAATGTAAAAAATATTTAAAATAAAGAAAAACCCTTGAATGAGTAGGTGAGTAGGTGTTTTGACTGTATGTAAATTACATATTTCTGTATTTCATTTTCAATAAATGTGCAAACATTTCTAAAAACATGTTTTCACTTCATCATTATAGTGAAGTGAAAACATTAGAATTCAGGCTGTAAAACAAAATATGGAATAAGTCAAGGGGTGTGAAGGCACTGTAAATACATGTATAACGATTTATGAAGCATTTATAATAATTTTATAATCATTTATTAGCATATATGATATCCATTTCTAAACATGCATAAGGATGTATAATGGATTGTTAATGATATACTGACTAAGTCACTCTTGAAATGAGCATCTGTTAAATTACCTAAATGTAATTTAAATGTAAAATGAAAGTACAATGGCTTATTCATGAAAGTGTATTATTGATATTATTATTTATTATTAATATTTTATTATCATATTATTCTATATTATTGTTATTATTATTAAGAGGTATTATTATTATGTAATAGTATATTATTATACCGTACCTGATCCTGGGTCAGTACACTCAGCAGTCTGTCTAATAGGATCTTCAGTCTGATGGGAAGAGCCGTGGCTCCATGGAGGACCAGGTAGGCCAGGTCAAATACTACCCCAGGATGGGCCACCTCTACCTGGGTAGCAGGGAGCAGGGGCTGGGCGGGCTGGAAGAACTTGTTCAATGCTGGAGGTTGAGGAAGAGTGGAGAATATACACAATATGTTCACAGCAGTAAATTGTTTCTTTCTCTGAATTGTGCAGCTGGAGAACTCTCTGGGGATCGGATTCATGTTGATCGATTTAGAGTGAGTGAGTGAGTCTCTCTCTCTCTCTCTCTCTCTCTCTCTCTCTATATATATATATATATATATATTATTTTTTTTCCTCAGCCGGCCACTTATTTGAAAGAATGGTTTTTGAAAATGCCTTGAAAGTTCCACTAGAGGGAGTCCTTTATTCACCTCTAAACAGACAGCAGAGAATAATGCACTTGCAGGCACTCACTCTTTTGAACCATTTTATCTCTTAGAAACACGGACCAGGGGTTCCTTACATTAAACACAACAACAGGAATGATAGGACTGCTAGGTCAAGGAGACCTATTTCTGGGAGAACAAATAAGTGGGTATACAAAAATTATATGCTAATGTATGAGTTTGCATTGGTTAATGCCCAATGTGACATAGGCGTACAAAACATTTACTCAGGCGTCTCTGGACATCGTATGAGCATTTTGCATGCATTGAATTTCAGAAATTCACATTTTTGACAATGTACGAAACGATTTTTGATTTTCTTCGCCAATCTCTGTGAGTGTAATTACAAAGATCGGCTACCAGATGGTGTTTATTGGTCTAGTGGTTTCCGTATTTATGTTATTTATTTATTTACAGACACTTTACCAGGTGTTTGAAGACAATGTTAACATTAGGCTTTAAAGGGTTAAACAAGAAGAGTCAAAATAACCACAAGGCCACAACCTCCACACCACAACCTCCACACCACAACCCCCACACCACAACCCCCACACCACAACCTCAACACCACAACCTCAACACCACAACCTCAACACCACAACCCCCACACCACAACACCCACACCACAACCTCCACACCACAACCTCCACACCCCAACCTCCACACCACAACCTCCACACCACAACCTCCACACCACAACCTCCACACCACAACAACCCCACACCACAACCCCCACACCACAACCCCACCCACAAACCCCCCCACCAACACAACCCCACACCACAACCTCCACACCACAACCTCCACAACCCCAAACCCCCCACCACAAACCCCACACCACAACCCCCCCACCAAAAAACCCCAACACAACAACCTCAACACACAACACTCAACCCACAACCCCCCACCCCACCCCCAACCACAAACCTCCACACACACCTCCCACCCCAACCTCACCCGACAACCTCCACACCACCAACCCCCCACCAACCTCACACCACCACACCCCCACACCACAACCTCCACACCCACAACCACACCACAACCACACACCAACCCCCCACCCCACAACCCCACCCCCCACCCAAACCAAACACACCCCAACCCCCAACCCAAAAACCCCACCACCCAAACCCCACACCCACCACAAACCCCCCCCCAAAACCCACAAACCCCAAAACCCCACACCACAACCCCACACCACAACCTCCACACCCCCCCCCACACCACAAACCCCCACAACCCCCAACCTCCACCCCACCAAACCCCCCCACCACACCCCCACACCACAAACCCCACCCCACAACCCCCACACCAAACCACCTCCACCCACAAACACAACCACAACCCCAAAAAACCACACCACAACCCCCCCCCCACCACAAACCCAACCACAACCCCCACACCACAACCCCCCAACCCACAACCCCCACACCAAACCCCCCACACCACAACCTCCCACACACAACCCCCACACAACCCACAACCTCCACACCACAAACCTCCACACCACAACCTCCACAACCACAAACCCCCACCCAAAACCCCTCCACAACCACAACACCCCAACAAACCACAAACCCCCAACACAAAACCTCAACCACAATCCTCCACATCAAAACCACACCAAACCTACCCCCAAACCACAGAACCCAAAAATAAACCACACTGGCCCACTCACAAAACAATGCAATTCCATTAATCATTACCACCAGAGTCCTAAACTGCCATATTGGCACCAGGGAATCAAGAAGTAAGTTATTCCAACAATGGGAGGCACTAAAACTAATGGATAATTTAAACCTCAAGAGTTAACCGACCCTGTGAACGTGTTTGGTAACTCATGTTTTTATATTTCAACAACTGATCACAGCAATACAACACCAATTGCAATGTCAGACAATACTAAACACAACATGTGAGAAAAACTGTTCCATTCCTCAGCTACTGGGTCCAGCACCCTAAGTAGCACCAGAACATCCAATTGTACAGAGTTCTGCACGTTGTTCCGGCAGTGAGGCTCGTTAAAACTAAAAGCGGATTGACCTAATTTGGCGCAGACCCGAGGAACCTCAAGAGCTAACCAACCCTGTGAAGGTGGTTTTATGTTTCAACAACGTAGTCAGGTAAGTTGGAAAGCTTGTGTAGTAGGGCTTTGTAAACAAAAAGGGAATAGTGAAGTGATCTAGGGGGGCTTTAATGAGGACCAGACAACCTTTTGATACAGGGTGTAGTGATGAGTATTAAAACTGTCACCTGTGATAAAGCGAAGGGCGCTATGGTAGACGGCATCCAATGGTTTAAGAGTAGTGGATGCTGCATTCTGGTATATTTTGTCACTATAGTCAAGAACTGGCAGGAAAGTTGACTGTACAATCTGCTTCCTGCTATTTAGGGAGAAGCAAGATCTATTTCTGAAAAATAAACCCACTTTAAATCTTAGCTTTTTAACTAGCTCATCAGTATGTTTTTTAAACATAAAATCCTTGTCAATCCAAAAGCCCAGATATTTATAGGCAGGAACCCGATCGATGGGAGAACCATTCAATTAACAAATATGTAGTCCATCTGAAACATTCTTGCGAGAACTAGAGAACAACATAAATGTAGTCTTGCCCACATTAAGTACAACAAGCTTCCCTCCCAAGTTACAGGGACAAATGTGGACAAAGTCCCAGATATTTATAGGCAGGAACCCGGTCAATGTATGTTGTTTTTATATTCTCATTTGCAGATGGTTTACAGATTTATGAATGGCTCTTTCATAGAGCAGGTTACCGCCTATATACATCTATATGTTATATACAGTGGGGGAAAAAAGTATTTAGTCAGCCACCAATTGTGCAAGTTCTCCCACTTAAAAAGATGAGAGAGGCCTGTAATTTTCATCATAGGTACACGTCAACTATGACAGACAAAATGAGAAAAAAAGATCCAGAAAATCACATTGTAGGATTTTTAATGAATTTATTTGCAAATTATGGTGGAAAATAAGTATTTGGTCAATAACAAAAGTTTCTCAATACTTTGTTATATACCCTTTGTTGGCAATGACACAGGTCAAACGTTTCCTGTAAGTCTTCACAAGGTTTTCACACATTGTTGCTGGTATTTTGGCCCATTCCTCCATGCAGATCTCCTCTAGAGCAGTGATGTTTTGGGGCTGTCGCTGGGCAACACAGACTTTCAACTCCCTCCAAAGATTTTCTATGGGGTTGAGATCTGGAGACTGGCTAGGCCACTCCAGGACCTTGAAATGCTTCTTACGAAGCCACTCCTTCGTTGCCCTGGCAGTGTGTTTGGGATCATTGTCATGCTGAAAGACCCAGCCACGTTTCATCTTCAATGCCCTTGCTGATGGAAGGAGGTTTTCACTCAAAATCTCACGATACATGGCCCCATTCATTCTTTCCTTTACACGGATCAGTCGTCCTGGTCCCTTTGCAGAAAAACAGCCCCAAAGCATGATGTTTCCACCCCCATGCTTCACAGTAGGTATGGTGTTCTTTGGATGCAACTCAGCATTCTTTGTCCTCCAAACACGACGAGTTGAGTTTTTACCAAAAAGTTATATTTTGGTTTCATCTGACCATATGACATTCTCCCAATCCTCTTCTGGATCATCCAAATGCATTCTTGCAAACTTCAGACGGGCCTGGACATGTACTGGCTTAAGCAGGGGGACACGTCTGGCACTGCAGGATTTGAGTCCCTGGCGGCGTAGTATGTTACTGATGGTAGGCTTTGTTACTTTGGTCCCAGCTCTCTGCAGGTCATTCACTAGGTCCCCCCGTGTGGTTCTGGGATTTTTGCTCACCGTTCTTGTGATCATTTTGACCCCACGGGGTGAGATCTTGCGTGGAGCCCCAGATCGAGGGAGATTATCAGTGGTCTTGTATGTCTTCCATTTCCTAATAATTGCTCCCACAGTTGATTTCTTCAAACCAAGCTGCTTACCTATTGCAGATTCAGTCTTCCCAGCCTGGTGCAGGTCTACAATTTTGTTTCTGGTGTCCTTTGACAGCTCTTTGGTCTTGGCCATAGTGGAGTTTGGAGTGTGACTGTTTGAGGTTGTGGACAGGTGTCTTTTATACTGATAACAAGTTCAAACAGGTGCCATTAATACAGGTAATGAGTGGAGGACAGAGGAGCCTCCTAAAGAAGAAGTTACAGATCTGTGAGAGCCAGAAATCTTGCTTGTTTGTAGGTGACCAAATACTTATTTTCCACCATAATTTGCAAATAAATTCATAAAAAATCCTACAATGTGATTTTCTGGATATTTTTTTCCTCAATTGGTCTGTCATAGTTGACGTGTACCTATGATGTAAATTACAGGCCTCTCTCATCTTTTTAAGTGGGAGAACTTGCACAATTGGTGGCTGACTAAATACTTTTCCCCCCCACTGTATATGCTCATATATCTGAGCTTTTGGATTTATTTATTTTACATTTAACAAACATACGGACGAGCAAGTTAAGAAGCTGAGACTTAAAGTAGGTAGTTAGTTTATTTTATAGAAATAGAGTTAGTTAGTTAGTTAAGTTAGTTTTTATTTTTTTGATTTTATTTCACCTTTATTTAACCAGGTAAGCCAGTTAGTCAGTTAAGTTAGTTAAGTTAGTTAAGTTAGTTAAAGTAGTTAAGGTAGTTAGTTAAGTTAGTTAGTTAGTTAGTTAGTTAAGTTAAGTTAGTTGGTTATGTT